TTTCGGAGAAATGACGTCAAATTCTCGGAATCTCTAAAATTCTTGGAAATGATGTCATATTCTCAGAATTTCTGTCATTCTTGAAGCTGACGTCAAATTCTCGGAAATTTATAAATTGTCGAACGGACGAACCTTTTGCCGAAAATTCGATTTTGTATTAGGATAACATAATATGATAGGAGGTCTCTCGAGAATTTTTTCCAAGAATTTTCGTCGTTCTTAGAATTGAATCTAATTCTTGGGTTTTTCGATATTGTACGAATACAAATAAACTTTTTGTTATTTTTTCGACTTTATTTAAATGTAATATAATTTTACTCAAAATATGATTTTGCTATCTTCAAAAACATGAATGTTTATGATTTTTCATATACTTTTTTCTAAAATACTTGCCATTTGCATACTTACCTATATTAGCTGCTATTTTTTTTTCTTTTTTGTATTTTTAATCTTTTTGTTAACAGTTTACTTATTTCTATATATATCTTTTTATCTTCTATCTTATCTTCTGAATACTTACCATTTGCATACTTATCTATTGCAATTCTCATTTTTTGGATTTTTATATCCTTTTTTCAAGAATTTTTTTAATTTTTAAGTTACTTCTTACAATATGACTGCTATCTTTTTGTATTATTATGTATTATTATGTTCTTTTGTATTATTATTTCATCTTTTATATATTTTGTAATTTTTTTTATGATTCTCTTTTATTTTTCCATAATTTATAAATATAATATTTCATATAACTTTATATCTGATGTATTTAATTTGTTTTAATATTAAAAAATGCTTCAACTTTTTTACAGTTGAATATTTCCAAAAACAAATAATATATTTCAAACGATTAATTATATTTATAAGACAATCAATATATATAAATATTATATACTTACGTATACTTCATAATATCGATCGTACAAATACATTATATCCTCCAGTGCAAATTTCCGGCTGCAACCATTGCCTGTTGAATTCTTCGCGGTATGAAAGTAGTTTACGATCAACATTCCCGAGACGATCGTCCCAAAAGAATCGAGTTGTACGCAACTCGAACGACGCACAAACGTATGTACCTCGAATTATACCTTCGTGCCAACGACTGTGTGTGCAACGAATGCTGTAGCAAAGTAAGTGGGTCACTTTGGAACCATGGATATATGTGCTAGACATCGCCGTAGGCTAAATTACGACGTATAAAAGTGTAATTTAGTTTGTCGATTGTCTCTAAATAATGACCAATCTCGATCAATATAAGGAAGACAATTAAGAGAATCGTTCAATCGTTTCCATAATTGTGATTTATTATTTACAATAGTTTATGCTTGTGACGAAGAGAAATAGAATGAAAATAGATCATATCGTGCACACTAATCGATGAAAGTTTGGAGAAAGTTTTCATTCAAAATTGTTTTGCACAAACACTCTCAATTTATATGTTGTGTATATAAAAATATATCACATTGTTATAATTTCCAACGAAATTGTAATTTTTCTGAACAAAATTTGAGATCAAGTTTTATGTTATCCGTTCATTAAACGAATATTTTCTATCAATCTATCAATATCTAAATTAAACTTATCTATCAAAAACGATTTCTTAGAATAATTATAAATAACAATTTTATATTAACTTTAAGCGATTCGTTCTTGAAGGAAGAGGAAAATGTAATGCTTGGCGTTACAAGTCCACGAAACACCTGGTTAATAAAAATGCAGTTCTAGTCGCGTTAAGATCGATAGATCGAGGCCAATTACCCGGTAGTACGATTCACTTAGCCGAAGGAAAGTCTTTCGGATCGATACTCGATACTACCATCCCCAGATCCCTTTGGATACTTTCTACTTTCATCGACCACGTTTATCGATGACTCAGAGATCGTTTGACTCTGATCTCGTTGCGATCAAACAATTGTGAAAATGAGATTCAATTTGGATGTAGAGCGATTGATGAATTCTTTTCATTCTTAATTAATATGGTACTTGATAAAAAGTGAATTATAATTTGTTGAATTTCTCGTATAAGAATATTTATTGTAGTTTAAATATTAAATAATTTAACCTTTAAACTTTCTGAAAAGATTTAATGAATGTAAAATAGTTAACAATTGGATATGTTAAATTTAAAAGATTTCTAATTTCCAAATATTCTAATTCTAATATTTGATTAATAATTTCTTCAATTTTGTTGGATATACTTCACATATTGTATAATGTAACATTCAGAAAAATGTCACAAGAAAAAAAAATACAGTAGTGAAAATAGTCTGAGTGTAATCTGACTGAAATTATTTTTATAAGATCACAGAATTTCTCAAATTAAATTTATCCAAGGGATGTATAATTAACACAACGTAATTCAAACAGATAAGAACAGGAAAAGTAATACAGTTAATCGAGTTTATATTTTATAATTGCACAGTCGTTTTAAAATCCCTGAGAACATCGAGATAATTTGCCTCCTTGAGAAAGTGATTCCAATTTTTTTTTTTTTTCTCGCATAATTACACTTTATCTCCATTTCCGTTCAATCCTTACCGCGCCATCTTCCTTATTTTATTACTTGGAAGATCAGTGAAAGCGCGACGAGTAAATTACTTAATGGATTCGAGCGTTTTAGATACGTGTATACCACACTTCCATTATGACAAGCTTGGCCGTTTCGCGTTTTTAAACAAGAGAATACATCGCGGTGGAAAATTATCGTGAAATTGATTTCACGTTTGACTCATCTGTATTATACTTTTATCTGTCCCTGATATAATGAAAATTTCCCTTCAGATCTATTATCATAGTATACATAACTATATTATGTTTGATTTATTATGTAATAAAAAAAGAAAATGATATAACATTTTTTTAATTTGAAAAAAAGTATTACATGTTATTAGCTGAATGATGTTAACAATCTCAATCCAATATTCCAATATCTCTACATGGTGTGTGATAAATATTTGTCTATGATGCGCACGTAACGTGCAGACACGGATGTGACATCCATTCAAAGATTGCCGGGAAACTTTCAGTTGCATAATTCTGATATTACTTTTCAAAAGTAAAAAACATCAGTTACGTAAACGCGTATAATTTAACGAATTCCACGATATCATTCTAAAAAAGAATTAGAATTTTATCTCGTAATATCATAAAGAAAAAAAAAAAAAGGAAACTAAAATTAAAACTAAAATTTACCCGAAGCGAAACGAAGCAATAAAAAGAATACCTTAATTAGCAAAATAATAGAAGAAGAAGAAGAAGAAGAAGAAGAAAATAAAAGAATCCTTCACCGCACTCGACCTTATACATCTTTCATCCATTGAATTGCAAATCATGCTCGTCCAATATCTTAAACTCACACAACAGAGCGCGTGTAACGCACATCGTATCGTTCTCAGAAATAAAAATGGTGCAAAATTAAAATCTTCCTCTCTCTTTCCCCAGGGACAAAGGTCGAATATACTCAACGATAATCATCATATTGGCAAAGTTTAACCACGAAATATCGCGAGATCTGTGAGCTAAGCGCTGCTGGTATTACCGATTCCCGATAACGGATGCGACGAAGAGCGCAACGAAGATTTACAATCTTGAACGTCGAAAGGGTTTTAACGCCGGAGGCTGAAACGAATCGGCAGCCACGAAAGTAGAACGATAAATCTGCGAACGGATAACTGGACGTTTAGCTTCCAGATTCTTCAAACCCTTAACGACTCGTGGCCCATGACGTGGGATTTATCGCCAGACACACACGCGTGTCATAAGTGTCTGACTTGTTTATGCGCGTATTCGTGGGCAGGATTAGTGTGGGTGGTGTGGTGGTAATTTGAATTATCTTGTGATTGTTGAAACATTTTTTGATCATTCGATTCGAATAATGACAAGTAAAAGATCGTGAAATTTCGAAGTTCGAAGGTTTTGTTAAGCTTTGGAGAGATTTTGAGATTTAATTTTTTTTCCAGCTCTTGTATTATCTTTCCTGAGACGAATAATTTTTGTTTAAGAGTCGAAGAAGAGGATTAAACGAGGATGTTCCTCTTAAATATTCCATTTATTTTTTTTTTTTTCAATTTTTACAAATGTCGATTGTTCAAGACAGAAATGAAAAGACAGTAATCGAATAATTAAAATCTATTTCTATGTCATTTTTCAAAAATACAATTGTATTGCAAATCGTTCTTCTCTCTAACTTTCCAATCATTCCTCGAATCATCTACCCGTGACCGTGCTCAACCATCAATAATAAATGAGAACGAGACAAAATCTCCTTGATTCCTTTAACCAGAGACGTAAAACCTGCACCTACTTAAGTTTCTTTGCTTTGTAGAATTGAAACCACGAATTGGAGCGTAAAATTCGCGTTCCACATAATTCTATAAAAAAAAAAACTTCTATCTAACCATGCAATTCATTCAACGTTAAAACTATGTGCCAAAGTTTAGAATCATCGAGATTCCTTGCTACTTTTATTATTATATAATTCGAAAACGACTAAGAAATTTTATATCTTCCGATATTCTCTGAAATTCTAAAAAAAAATGCATTAGTTGACTTTAAATTTTTGATCGATGGGATTCATATGACAGATTGAATATCATAACATCACAAAGTGTTTCAAAAAATTTATATTTAAATAAAAAGGAATTTTACGTACAGTATATTTATCTTTAAATTGTAACGATACATTCCAAGAAACTCGAAATAAAATACAATTCTGATTTTAATGATTATCAATCCTTCGATATACGCATACTTTTCTGATCAGATGTCGAATCGCGACCAACTAAGTGTCACAAAGCGTGCGTTTCTCGAGTCATTTGGCCGTGAACTTGCTGTCGACGGAAGGCCAACCCTTGATCCTCGATTCATCTTCTTTGATAGTCATCAGTCGTCTGAATGAAAAGTGAAAAGTGGACGTGGTCGTGGAAGCAACGGAGACGGCACACATATTTGCATCGGAGAAAGTCGCCTCTCTCGTCCCCTCGTCTCTTTCTCTCACGGTGCTTGCGTGCTACATAATCGATGCATTAACACCTTGCATAACTCGATTTCGCGGTATTAATCATCTCATTACGCGGCTGTCTCGTCGAAACAGGATTATACACACGCGCGTGTATGATACGCATAGCAAAATTTCCATGCTCGCCAGGAAATCTGGAGAAATTGAGAGGACAGTTATTAAAACGTTCGAAGGAAGTAGGGTTATTTCGTTGTAAAATAAAAAAGTGTGTATATAAAATTTGAAATTTTTTAAAAATCTCAAATAGAAATCACACTTATGTAATGGTGGAATATCTACACTCTATGTATGTGAGAGATGGAAACGATATGCACATATATTATAATATTTCTTAATTATCGATATGCAATATTTCTTCAAAACGAACTCGTACTTTTCTTTTATATTTTTCTTAATTCACGCATGTATTATATGTATTATATATATTAATATATATTATAATATATTATTATTATATTATATATATATATATATATTATTATATTATATATATTATATATTCCTTCTCTCCATGTATGAAAATTATATTAAATTTTTATCTTGCAAACGATTAACGATATTTCTATTTCTAAAAATGAGACGGTTCAATCGATAACGAACGTAAAACAGTTTCGTAATGACCGTTTTCAATCGTGACAAGATAATCGCGCTCGAAATCCCTCGTTACGCATCGAGGCGTCTATCACACGGAAAAATTAAGATTCGCCACGAAGGATTCCACCGTTGGACCGTTATCGTAGAAGCTATTATGTTCCTCGCTTCGTTTCGACGAGTGTACAAGGTGGCTAAATTACGGTCTCTACGAGGAACAGATGAACGGTAACGCCTCCGTGAGGATCCCGTCTGACAGAGAATCACGATAGATCGAACGATGTATTCTTGCCAGAGGGAAGAGGACAGCTTCGTCATCGACAGTTGCTATGCAACGGTACTTATGTAAGTAGTACATGAGGCAAATTTCTTTGAGATGTTTACTATTTTTTTTTTTTCCTCTTCTCCTTTCCGAGAGATTAATTTCTTTGGATTCTTTGGAATTGTTTTGAAATAGATTTGTGGAATATTATAATATAAAATATGATAGATTAAGTTATAAAAATAGATGATGTCTAATTTTCAATTAATTTTTTCTAATAATTAATAATCTCACTTGTAATGGAATATTGTTTTTTTCAATAGATCTATTATTAGTAGTATTGGAAAAATTGCAGTAATGTTAATTACCTTGAAATGTAATGTTCTGTTATTTTAGAAGGAGTGAACGATACTAGCGCCACGACAGTAGTATTGGAGATTTTAATGCCTGTAAGAAGAGGCACTGCTTTGCAATTTGTTGATCACGTAATCGATATTTGTAAATTTCTGTAAAGTAAAATCTGTATTAGAGATTGGAAAGGAATTGGAATTATTAATTTATTATTGATTGATATAAAGAAAATTGTTATTTTTAATTAATGATACGAAATGTTGAAAATATAATTGATTTGTATTTGATAATAAATATTATTTAAGCAAGGTTAATTTAATAGAAAAATTGTTGTATAATAAAAAATTATATTATTGCAGAAATTATATAATATGTAGTAAATACATGTATATAATTTCATAAATTAAGGTGAACAAATAAGAATATGATTTATTTGTACAAATTTTGTATTATTATAATAAAGAATTATTTAATTGTTTTAAATATTAATTTAATTAATCCCCTTCTTCTTTATTACCTGTGCATCGACGAATCTTAATCAATAAATGATTCAATAGATCAAAATAAAAGAAAAGAAATGTGAATTTTCTGAATGTACGATTTTTTTGAAATATTGCGTAATCTACATCGTCGATGTGATCGAGGCATTTCAAATCAAACATAGCAATGAATTGATTTAACGATAGCCTCGTAATTTATGACATCCTCCATTCTTTGCCAAGGTTGTCCGTTCATCAAGCCTTTTTTTCTTCTTTTTTTTTTTACACAATATTCAGTATCAGTAACAAGTGCAATCACGAGATAGAAAGGAAGGGCCTCGGTTCAGCGAACACGGCGGAAACTGTCGCCATTCGTTCACGCGAAATCCATTCACCGCAAGTGTAACCCGTTTCACTTTTATAAATTATTATTATGGTCGATCGATCGTTGCTTTGCAATCTTTTGATATTCTGCAATATATAAAAAATTAATACGGAGTATTAAAGGCAGTGGAAGAAAGAATAATTTTATTCGAGTCGATAAAAATATTTATATATGAGAGATTTAATTATTATTGTTATTAATGTTATTCCAGAAATGCGTTGGTTTCGTGGCCACGCCGAGGCGCCAAAACTTTTGAGCCTAAGTCCTCTTCAAGCTGACGAAGACCTTGACGGAGCATCTTACCACTTTCATGCTGCGTCTCAGTACAGAGGTAAGAATCGTGAGAAAACACCGATACAATTACCTCACTGCTTACACCAGGATGCAACGTGAACTTTCATAATCCAAATTACGATCATTCTAACGTTAATTAGCCACTGATTAGCCATCTTGAAATCGAATGTAACTTTCTGCCCATACAAACTGGTATTATATTTCTCGAATATAAATCTTAATACAGTATGTTCAAAATTCCAAAATTGAATAAAATGAAATAAATTAAGGAATTTCAAGATTCAAAATCATGTAATTTGTAATTTTTAATCGAGTCTTAAGATTAACAATTTCAATAAGTATTCTCTGTCTAAACAATATCCCAATGAAAATAATATTGTTGCCCAATAAACAGGATATCCTCATCCACAAGGTTTTTCACACGAAATATTTATAATTAGATCCTAATTACATTTATAAAATTATATTCATATACGATTCAAATTATGTTTTACAACCACGTTCCTTTGACGATTCAATTCGATTCCAACGAATTGGCTAAATCGCCTCGAAATTACTCATTTGGAATTTATACCATCTCCTTTCGATGTTGCTGCAATATTCACCGACTAATGTCGTGTTATTAGCTAACAGTATTGGCAGATTGGACGTAGATTATGTCTGTACCATCGAGATTTCATCTTAGGTGCGATTATTACTCGAGATTGCATCCACAAACATTCCTGCAAAAAAAAAGAAAAAGAAAATAGTCTCATTGTTTCACATATCTTTATTCCTAATTCGTTTTTATCTCCGCCATTTTATTTAATACTAATCCTTCTCTTTTCATTAATAAAAATAGATCTAGAAATTTTAATACACTATATCTTTAAAAACATTCCAAGATTTCTATTATAATAAATAATTAATAAAAAAATATTTTTTCCTCTTTTTAATTTCGAAAGTATTGAGGCTTAAGATACTCATATTATAATTCCAAGAATTTACTTGGTATTTTATATTTCAATTAGAATTAACAATATTACAAAATTTCATTAAATTATGCAAATGTTTTTTATATCTCTATTTTGTGATGAATACGTTCATTACGTAAGCATTAATGATTAATATAATTAGTATTTATTCACATGAAATCGTCCATGCATTAGAATCATTCTAAAAATAAAAAAAAAAAAATCAGGTCATCAAGTACTGTAAAAAATTTATTTGACAGCATTTATATTTTTATGTACATACCTTGATGAATGTTGAATAATTATACGCGTAAATATTTCACCACTCCATCCTTAATGGATTAATAATCTCCGCGTTTCGAGTCGATTCTCTTCAAAAACGCAAAAGTTTCTCCAAGCCGATGCTCGTTTTTCGTGCGTCGTTTCATTAAAGCCTCTTTCGAAAGTGAAGAAACTTTGCATAGCCTCGTTAGCTTCGTGAGAGTCTCTTTTTATGAACCCAGCCACGAAACAGGAGAGATTTACCTCGTTCGTCATGATGAACTCAGCAACACGTGTTAAACGCATGTTGCACGTATTGGAAAACATGTTAATATGCTTAATAAGCCGATACTTTGTTAAAATATGTGAGAAGAGAAACAATACGTTGATTGTATTTTACGATTCTTTCGAATATTGGCTACTTGAAATTACTTGAAACTTTATTTAGTTATTGACAATTATAAATATTGCAATAAAATATATAATAATATTATATATTAATTTTTGATTTTCATATATGTATAAATATTTCATTAATTTATATTTAATTTAATATATAACAAGTAGATAAGATTGATTTTATCTAGAGTAGAAGAGATGATTAAATTATTTTCAGAGAAAAATTTATTATTGAATATGGAATTTATCCAAGAGATCAACAATATTTTATTTGATCAATGACATACTTTATTTCTTGCTACCAAATTGCAGATAATATTGTTTTATCATATCATAAAAATCCGCTGTATCACTGTCTTTACTTTTGCGTATATCGTAATACATCTCCTGTTTTGTGCAATTTGTTTTGAATTATTATTTAAATTATTCCATTTTTTCTTCAAAAACTTCTCATTAATTTTTTGTTTCCAGACAAAATCGACGATATGCAAACAAGCTGCATTCCAATATAATCTCTGTTAACGATAAAAGGCAAAAATCTGACGTTTCAATTAAAGCTATTCACACGATGAAGCAAAATATTGTATGTGATTCACGCATATAAATTTAAAAAGAATTCGTAATAATTTGGAGAATCGATTTCACAATTCTTAGGATTTCAGTAAAAACATGTTTTGCAAATTTTTGATCATTTATTTCATTTCCGCAAAAATTTCTGTGTAACATCTATTTTTACCTCGTCTCATTTTAATCCATCGTAAAATTACACCATCAGAAATTTCAAATATTTTAATATTTTCTGTTTACTAGTCAATTTCTTAAATTTTTCAAACAAACATTGGATCACAATTATTCGCACAGAATCACGTAATGTTTAACGAATTCTGAATAATAATTTCGTGTTATCAATGCAATCGGTGATACGACGATATCATAAAATAATAATTGGATTAGCAAATACGTTCCTTTGAGTAAAATTGTGTGTTTAATCTCAATGAGTATTTACATAGCCGACAAAGGAACACCCTCACAGGAAACCGCTGTGTTAGTCACTTCTATGAACACTGAGATAACATCATTGTGGTTTTTAGCATATATGCGTGAACCTGTCACTATTTTTATAGATATTTCATAATCCTTAATCGTGGAAATGAATTAATGACATCAATTTTAATCTGCCTGAAAATAAAAAGATAAAATTAAAACGTGTAATACAAAATTATGTTCATTTTATATTATGATGATAATAATTCAAATCGTCAAATAAAAATCAAATATTAAATAAGTATATTTCATACGAAATAAAATTTTATTTTATAATAATACAAAAATACCTAGACATAAAATATTAAAATTTAACACAAATGAGTTGTAATCATTCGTGGTTGATAAAATAAAAATATCAAAAGGAAATTGATTCTCGTGCAAGTTTATTTTATTTAAAAAATATTCAAGTATAAAAACGTTGAAAATTAAAAATGAATGAATTTTTATTACTGAAATTCATTTTATATCCCGTATCTCTAATTACGTTTTGTAATCAGAATATTTCGTTTTCTTTATTTGGTGTCACAGCAAGAATTTCTACGTGCACGTAAACTTTTTCTTTCAATCTAAGAAACGAAACAGTTGGATTTTGCGAAGTCAGCTCGCATTCTAGACGAAAAGGTAGTGGCATTAGTGGCCAACATCAAGTTTGTAACGTTACGTGGACATTAACGGGTTTCTTCACGGTAAAAACGACCGGTGGTTAAAGATTTCGTAATGGTGTGTCGTTTGCGGGCGGGGAAATTGCGAATTATTTAAATCACTGTTTGAGGGAAAGGTTGGAAAAATTCTGCGGCATCAAGTTACACTCTTCAAACACAGTTGTGCAATATAAAATTCGAAGAGGCGTGTTTCTTTGATCCTTATTTACTTTTGTATAAACTGAAACAGAAATATCTTAGCAGAAGATTATTATGGTTATTTCTTTAATCTTTGTGTTTCTTATTCTATATGTTTAAGTAGCTTCATTTTTAAATTCTGTTTCCTCAAAATAATCTAATATTTTTTTGTTTATAATTATTTTAAATATTATTGATGAAATAACAAAATTTGCGTGTTTCGAATATCTCCATAATTTTCTCCATTATTATATGAAGAAAGAATTATAAAAGAATTATATTTTTTCATGAATATGAAAAATGTAAAAATATGAAAAAAAGTAAAAAAATATAAACTTTAACTATATACACAAATAAACATAAAATATAATACTACATGTATATTCATAAATAAAGATGCTTCAGATAAATATACATATTATACAATTTTCCTATATTTATTTTAAAAAATGCACTTGTACTACTTTCCCCTAATCTATTTTAAGAATACCATACTTTTCCTCATTTACATTAATATCTTCTTTAAACTTTTTATATATCATGAAAAAAATAAAATTCTGTTATTCACAATAAAGCAATTAACATTATCATAAAATGTTAGGCATCATCACACATTATCTTTAATAATTTTCATACATATATTATTTTTTTAAAAACAACTTACCACTTCACATATTAATCATTATTATATCTCGCAAAATTTTAACAACTTACTTCTAAAATAATTGCACAAATAATCGAAATTTTTGCCGTTAGAAATGTCAGAGTGGATTTAACGAATTGCAGGAAATGTGTTACACGCGATATCTATATTTCTCGAGTATCGACGATAATGATAGAGAGTCGAGCTAAGAATTGCACGGTAAATAGACCTTTGGGATCGTTCCGAAGGGGATTGAAGAAAACGTTTCACAACTAAAGAAAGTGGGGATCAATTTTGCGGTAAATGTAACACGACGAACTGGCATAAAAGGAAAGAGCTGCCAAAGAAAGACGAGCGGTGATTTTATTAAAACGTTACTTCCTGTATCCTTAAATTGAAATTCTGTAGATGTATAATAACAATTGCAAACTGATAAATTAACTTTTAAAATATAAATTATGGAAGAAATTGTAAAATGAAATTTACAAAACACTTTGCGAAATATATATAATAATAATAATAAATCTGTGAAATTATCTTCCAGGAAATAATACGAATATTATCAAAGATAAATTGCAAAAACTTTATGAAATTTATATAACATAATAATTAATCTGTGAAGCGATAAGCTATCTTCTAGAAAATAATATTGAAAATTATTTCTCTAAATTATTTCTCTTGACGAAAAACACGATGTCATTTTTTTATTTCTAATAAATAATTCTTATCCAATTATATCCGTTATTCAATTTTAATCGTTGCAACTTGGACGATACACAAATCTTTCGATTAAAACATCTGAAATTTTGAATCTTGAGCGTTGTAATTATTTATATTCTCTCAAATTGCAATGATTATTCTAAATATTATTACCTCGAAGTTCGCACAGAACGTCACTTCCGATTCTCTCCTCTTCCAATTCCTCTCCTAGTTTCGTGTGACTATTTTTATTATCGCTCGAGAGCAAAGCGCTCACGTGAATTGCTCATACGGGATGTCCTGTCTTCCACACATCCTGTACGATTCCTTGTCTTGAGCCTCTCCGCTCAAACTCATATACCGTCACGGTTCGAGGAAGGCGATCATTTTCGTCGCGGCTGTCACTGTTAAACGAAGTTTCGACTTGTACACACGCGTACGTTTCGCGCTCGTCGATCGTTTCCTTGGAAGGATGACTAACAACGTTTGGTACGACAGAACGTTGTACGACGCGAACGACTCGAAGACAATCGTCGATATCCATCAATTTTTAAAATGTAATTCGCGTTAATTGTGTTTGATTAGAATTCGAATTTTCGATTCGACATGATTCACATTTTTTCATCATTATCGACGTCTATTGATTTTTGTAATTTGCGTTAAATTATTAATTAAACAGATTTCGAATTGTTAAAATTTTTTGTAATTATAACTATCTTTTTTTTTTAAAGGTAGTGATTTATTGAACGTGATTAAGAATGATTTTTGTTATCAGTGATAATGGTGGATTGTAATTCTTGATAATGATCTTGTGAAATGTAACGATGCTTTTTGAACTGTTTGTCGCCATAAATTTGAATTAAATGATAATTGAAGAATAATCTTGTATCGGTGCAATATGAAGTTTTAATTGTACAGTGATGCTACATTGGAATATAAATTTATTACAATTCTTAAAAATTAATTTTATTATATCATAATATTTTATTACTCTTAACTGAAATTTTATGTATATAATTTTCTAATTCAATTTTGAAAATGATTAGATACACGATGAATTTTATGTATAATAGAATATTTGAAAAATTACTATATGTAAATCTCAAATAAAATAGGTTCCCATTGAATATTGAATATTGAATATTGAATATTGAATATTGTTCAAATAGATTCAATATAAAATTATGATTAATTATTTTTACAGTCTTCCAGTCATTCAGTAAACGTGTCATGTTATGTCTAATTATTCATTTGATGTGTCAGTCACAAATATTCGTTTTACATTCATTGTGCAAAGTCTTAAAATCTGAAGTTTCAAAGGAAAGACAGTCTAGTAGTGATGAAATAGAGGTGTAAATAGCACTGACAAACATTTCAATGGGTATTATGAATATAGCAAAGAGATGTGCAAAAAATTCTCAATACTTTTCCTTGACAAAGAAATACTTTTGAAATAAAAAGAATCTATTTATAATGTAATCACTTTGTAATTTACAACTACACAATTACTTCTCTCACAATTAAAATTAAAATTAAAATTAAATTTACAAGTTATTAATTTTTTCTCAGTATCACTATTGTTTAAAAAAACTACCATGAAACTACTAAAAAAATAAACCAACAAACTTTTAACTCTAAATGATTATGCATCCATTTTTAATCTTGATTAAATTTTTTAATAATTCCTTACTTCTTTTCATTTCCTATATTTGATAATTTATTTAATCTTTATTATTCAAAATAATTCTTATTTAATAAAATATAATATTTAAAAAAAAATTCTACTTTTTTAATAATTCTGAGCAAAATATAAAGCAATGTATTAAATCATTTTTCCTACCTTCACAGATTTGTCTCCGGTGCGATGGGCTCGCCGGAAGTCGTCGAGCTCCGAGTCGGAGCGGAACTGCTACAACGTGCAGACGTCGCAGGTGACCACCGAGCGGAGTCCCACCAAGAAGAACAAGAAGAGAATCCAGAAAGAGAGGCGGAGGGTCTGCGAGAAACGAAACCCGTTGTTGGACCGCGTGAAAAATACCAGGTTGAGCTTCTTCAAGGATCGAGATTCGGACGACGAGGAGCAAGAAGAAGAGGAAGAGCCGGAGAAGCTGCAATTTCGTTCCATGTGCGAGTTGAACCAGCATGGCCTGACCAGAAACGAATTTCGTAGATCGGTCTGTGAATCAGATTTGAAAGAGATCATCGAGGAGGAGAAAACTCAGGCAAAGAGGAAAAGACGGTCGAAATCGCAGAGCAGATTACCTCATCGAAAACAGCAAGAGGATCGCTCCTCGTTCTTGGGTCTGCGACCATCCGCTGGTCACAAGATGGCGACTTTGTCCAATGACATAATCGAGGAAAGCGTCGGTCAACAGAATCGCGGGTGGCGGAAGAGCAGAGAGTTCGTTCAAGATCATCAGACACCGAGGCGATCCATGGATCACGTTCTGGAAGGTTCTACCAGCACCGAGGATGGAACGTTCAAGGATGGCTCTCAGTTTGACAGCATAACACCATCGAGCTGTTTGGCCGCCAAGTTTCGAGCAATGCAGGACAGGTATCTGAAAAGTTCCACCAGTAAGTTAATAGCGAAGATCTACAAGAAGGAGGGCAAGGACAAGGAAAGAAGAAGACTGAGGAGTTTCTCGTACGGCACTTTGCCGGGTCTCGAGGAGCTCAGAACGAATCCCCTTTACGAGGAACAGGATCAGGACGACAACGATTCCGGTATCCTGGACAACGACTCTGCCACCAGCTCTTTGCTCGACGACAGGTGCAGCAGCAGCGCCTCTGGATTGTTAACCACGCTCAACGATTCGTCCTTGAATTCACCACCTCAGTTACCACCGAGGAAACCTTCGTCCTCCATCGTGGACGTCGAAAGAACAGCGAAGATGTTCTCCAGTTTGGACGTCTATTGTGGAAGGAACGAGGGGAGAGGTTGCAGGAAGGACGTGTCCAGGTTTAACGCTCTTGAAGATTCCTCGAGCCAGATCTGTCAGGCAGCGAACAACGAACTGATAGATCGACAGGATCGTGACAGCTCGAAATTGTCCGAGGAGAAGAACGTGATCGAGAGGTTGAACAGTAAAGACTGTTTAAGGTCGGAGAGCTATCAAAGCTCTAGGCTTTCTGTTATCAGGAACAGGTCTTACACCACGGAGACGATGGTCGTGAAACTTCCTAGAGAGAGTTCGGATCAGTGTTTGGGCATCTTCATCGCGAAAACAGCGGAATCCAGTCCCGGTTACCTGGTGGCTCATGTAGTGCCTAATGGGTTGGCCGATAAAGAAGGTACTTTGAGGATAGGCGACGAAATTTTGATAGTTAATGGGAAGAGGCTACGAGGGTTGAGCATGGCCGAGGCTAGGAAGATTCTTGGAAGCGGAAATGGACCTGGCGACGTGGACATCGTCGTCTCCAGGTACTCGGCTGTAGACCAGTCCTCTAAGAAGCTGACAGAGAGCAGCGTTGACTACGAGAACGTTCATATGGAGAATGGCCACGGTGTCATCGTCGAGAATTCACCTGGTACGCACTTCAGAAAACATCAGACGAAGCATCATCGGGACAGGAGGAACGAGTGTAACAGGACTGGTTCTTCGGACAAGGCTGTCGTGGAGAACGGTACGAGCTCTCAAAATGTTTCGAATTTTTGCACGCTGCCAAGGAGGCCTAGGAACACCGTCTCGACGTTCCTCACCGTCGTGTTTCAGAAGGGTCCTGGAAAGAAATCGCTGGGATTCACTATTGTGGGTGGAAGCGACAGTCCTAAGGGAAGCATCGGTGAGTAATTTATTTTCGATAAAACAACGATATTATTATTAAAATTCACGCGTGATGAGAAATGAAAATTTATCGAGATTTAATGATATAATGAAAGGGAAATGAAATGAAAACGTTTCACATCAACAAAAAATTTCTACTGATTTTTTTTTTCTTAAATAATGTGGATAATTATAATTGTATTTTCTGTTATGTTTCCATTTGTGCGTTTCACATATTTGTTTCATCTATAAAAGAATGTTTACATTATTTTCTACCTTCGATCTATGCTATGTATTGTTTGTTATATAAGACTAACAGTAACTATTTTGGGGGATAAATAATTAATTATTGTATAAATTTGGTATAGGTACTAATATGTTAAAGTTAAATCCATGCTAATATTAAAGACTAATATAATATTAATTTTAAAGCTAGTTTTCATCAACGCTATCTTAATTTAAATGCAGTAAAAATGTTTAACAACTATTATGCAAGGCAACGTCGTTAATATTCGTTGTTTAATATTATTATAGCATATTACCATTAAATGAATTAATTATTTAACTAATTTAAAAATAATATATATGATATATTACATATATATTCTAATATTTAAGCTAATTTAAACTTGAATTAATATTAAAACTAATAAATAATTTGCTACAATAATTTCTTTAAAAAGATTTAAATTTTAACAAGATTAAAAGCGATACTATACTTTACTATAATTATATGTTATTCAATTTATATTTAATCTCAAATTATGTAATTATATTAAAAATGTTTAAAGCTATATAATATTATTGTTAAATAACTATTTCAAAAATGCTAACACAATATTCCTAGAAATCTATCTCAAATTTCTAATGATTAAATGTATCAAAAATTTCCAAAACTTCAACAATCGTTAACATTTCACTTTGACGAAAATCTTTTCAACGTTTTAAAATTATTCTACATAAACTAAAATAATAAATAACATTTTAAACACTTAAATATTAATCTAGTGTTAAACATTTCAATTCTGGCAACTCACCTGGAATTAATATAAGTATCTTAAACTTAACGATTAAACATATTCAATATTCATAAACAATATTTCTTTTTCAACATTTCAATATCAAAATATCCAAAACAAAATAATTTTATAAATATTATAAATATTATAAACCTTAACATTATTTATATCGTTTATATTATCGCATTTCAACTTGTTTAAACTTTTAACACGATAGAATATTGTAATAACTTGCAAAAACTTCAAAATTTCTCCCTAACTTCTATATATTATCCTGAATATTATATACTTTAACAAAATACTTTAAATCTCTGCAAAACTTGCAAAAACACATATATTTAATATTTCATTAAATATCTAAATTTAAATTGTTACATTTTACTTGAAATGGAATACAAAATAAAATCACTTATATTTTAAAATCTTCAATTGCAAATTAAATAAATCTTAAAATTGAATACTACCACAACTTTTATATAAAATCCCTAACATTAATATTAATACAAACGATCAAAATTCATTCATGTAACACAATATCTCAATTAGTATAACATAATATTTATAATTAAAATGATCAATAATATAATCTTCATCCCTATTTAAATCCTTTCACCCTAATCTAATCTCAAAAAGAATTCGTTGCTCCAAAAAAGATGACCAAATAATGATATCAATTTTTGAAAGATATATGCACGCTTTTTATTTTTCTCGCGAAACGGTGCTCTTCGTGCTCGTGGACGCGCACGTTTGATGGTCGACCCGAGCAGAAATAGCTTAGAAACACCGACGTCGATTTCCCGGCACAAGGTTTACAAGCTCGCTTCGACCGACGCACACCGCCTCTTGTCGATAAATTGCCTCCGCGTGTATACAAGCGGTCTCGAGTTTTACGCGCTCGTTACGCTACGATCCTAGGAAGAGCGTGGAACTTGGGTTTCGTAAGCACGCATCTGGAATATCGGCGCGAGCTTCGAGTTGTTTTACATTCGTGTAAAACGAAGGGGGGAGAGGTATATATGCCTGGTAGTTCGCCTCTTGAACGATGAAGAGGATCGCCGTGAAATCGTTCGAGCTAGTTTAGAGAAAAGTTTTGGAGGGTTTGGAAATGTTTGGTTTAGTTTCTGTAATGTGTATATGTATATTTTTTTTTTTAAGAGAGAGAGAATTGATTGGATATTAATATTTTAAATTGTGTGATGTAATGATGTAATGAGTTGAATATGATTATGGAATAGGAAAATACAGGAACGAAATTATTTATATTTAAATTGTTAAAATAAATTTGATTCGCGGTAATTCATTGATTTAATTTTTATGTAAAATTAGAAATAGATTTTAATATAGTTCAAAGTATAATATATTTAATTCATACACGATAATATATTGTAAAGAATTAAATTTGTATAAGAGATGGAGTTCAAACAGATACGGCGCGAAGACAACGATTTAAAAAATTAATTTTGAGAGCATGACGAAGTAGATGGTTATATTATGATTTTATTCATTTTAATTTCATTAGAAATATTTCTTTTTTAAAATACATTCTTTTAAAAATATTAGTAAATTAGAATCATAGAATTGCCCATTTAAATTTTGTATTATCAAATTAATTTCAAAAAAGAAGTCAGATTTTTAAAATTTATTTTTTCGTGTTAATAAATAAAAATGCAAAAATTTTTCAAATAAAAAAAATAATAATAATATTTATCCTGTTTAAAAATACATAATTTATCACTATCGTCGCTAAAACAAAAATATGGAAATTAATTTTTAAAATAAAACTCAATTCAAAGAACAATTTTCCTCGCAAAGCGTGGAATTCAATTCAATTCAATTCATTAGATTCTCATAATGATACAAAGCAAAATCTGAAAATCTCCTAAATTCTAGAATTCTAAATTTTAATTGTTATAAAAATTTTTTCTACAAATTACAAATTGTTACGTTAAACACTACATTGTCAGAGTTTGTCTATAAAGTTTATTTATTAACACTATTCAATTTCATCAAATCGTATGTTAATAAATTATCTGCGAGTAAATAATTAATAATTATCACGTTAATAATATTTCTTTATCGAACTCATTTCGATTAATCGTTGCTTAGTTTCCTTTCTCTAATCCATAACACTATACTATTCTATATAATTATGTTTGTTACAGGTATCTTTATAAAATCGGTATTGCCAGGGGGGCAAGCCGCAGAAGATGGCCGTTTGCGAGCAGGTGACGAGATTTTGGCAGTGAATGGCCACGTCTGTCACGACTTGACCCATAGAAAGGCCGTTCAGCTTTTCCGTAATATCAAAACTGGACCGGTTGCTTTGCACCTTTGTAGACGCATTAAAAATAAGGAACTACAGTGAGTACGGCAGTGTTGTCCTATTGCATATAGTTTTACAACTTAATATTAGATGATTGTATTAAAGAAAGGAAAAAAGAAAATTAAGTTAAAAGAATGTATATTATAAAATTGTATATTAGATATTTTCGTTTTGATTATATAAAAGTAAAAGGATAATCATAATTTTTCAATTTTAAAGAGTAAAATATTTAAAATAGATATACGTATAAAATTGAAATTTTTTTTTCGAAAACTATGTTTTCGAGAAAAATTTAATCAAAGGAAAATTGAATCTTTGTTTAAAAAGTTTTATCTAGCATCTTTTCATTCTATTTTTTTTATATGTTTCCAGAATATTCTTAGTTTTTTATTTCACGATAAACATATCGTAGATAAATATTCCAAAATTATGAATATTTATCTGATATAATATTATATCGTCTTAATACTTATTCAATACTTATTTCAATAATATTTTAATAATTGAATCCAAATTTTTACATAATCAACACGAAACATATATATATATATTAATTATTTAATTATATAACACATTAAACTTTCAAAATAAAAATGGGACTTTAAATAATTCTTTATACTTTTTTTCAGGACGACAAAGGCTAAGTCGTGCGCAGACCTTCTACTCGTCGACGCGTGAAGAAAATCTGTATAAGAAGATTGTAAAAACGAAGAAAATACTTCCGTGACCGCTGTAAAAATGAACTCGGGACCTGTACATATTGTAAATTTGTAAAATCTCTTGAAATAAAACTATTATTTAATAACTATCGAAAAATTACGTTGTCGATCGTTGCACATCATTTTGTCTCGCAAACAACAGATTCCTCAAGCACCTTAAAATTACGACCTCTTTATTGTCCTCTATAATAATAAAAAATAGTAATAATAGTAATAATAATAAAAAATAATAATAATAATAATAAAAGAAATTGCATACAATAAATTCACGCTGTTTCAATGTACCTGTATAAAATCTTATAGTCATGATAATAATATAATATAATAATAAAAATAATATAATAATAATAGTCAATAATAATCAATAATAATAATAATAATAACCATTTGATAATAAACTTAATCATTACGCAATTGCGACACCGCGTTAAATAAATTAATTGAAACAAACATCAAAGATCAAAGATTCGTTCTGATAGACTAGAATCCTAAAACTTCGTATGCAGCGAACGTTAGGTCGTTTAAAATCGATTCGAAAGAGCACTTCCGGTGGGCAGATTCGTCCACATTGCCTCCTTCTCAGCATGGCGCGGATTTTTGCGTACTTTTTGGATACCTGTAACACAAAATGTTTCTCTTATAGAATAATTAATTTTGTTATATATTTGAAAAATTATTTATTAGCAATGACATCCATTTTTATATTTTCATACAAAGTGATGAGTATATAGAGAGATATTAAATGATGCTGCGATTCTTTATATTAATTGTTTACGTGCTAAAGATCCAAGATTATTAAATACGTAAAATTATAATATTTTATAGGAGAATACTATTTTTATTTAATAGATAACAATAAAAATTAGTTTATTTATAAAATTAATTGTTACTTATTTGCTGTAGAATTTCAAATTGAAAAATATTAATGTGATGAATTTTGTTTAATACCTGTGTCTCCTTGTGATTTCTAACTCGACAGGACCTTCCCTTACTGCCTTAAATAATTCGATTACTTCTTGATGAGTATAACCACGCAGTACTTTTCCATTTAAACTTAAAATTTCGTCACCTGCAACAAAAATTCGAATATTGTATTAGTTAAATACATTCACGAAGAATTAGAGAATCGAATTAATTAAACGATCTGTTAACAAAAATTTATATATAAATCGTCGATTTGCTATTATTAATTTACAACTAGAATATACATTTACAACTAGAATATACATTTACAAAGAATTCAAAGATAGAAAAATATAGAAACATGCAAAAATACATAAGATATCAAAAATATTCAAACAAATTAAACAAATTTCTATACAAGATTATTTCATTAATTTCATACTTGAAAAATATAAAAATAAATCTAATTTCTGTACATCAACTTTTCCATTCGTTTCGATCTTTAGAATCGATCCTTCAAACGATACGTCCCGCGAATACGTCAACACCCTATATATTTTGTCAATTATAATTCGAGAAGCCAAGAAACAAATCTCGTTCGACTCGAATTTCGAACGTTTCCAATTTTGGAACAGCTCGAACGGGAGGCTTAGCCTTTTGGCAGCAGGCGGAGATGCATCGATCCTGTACTTATGCAACCGAAACGGCCGGCGGCCCGTTATGCAAGCATGCGGCAGGGTGCAGTGGCACGAGGAAACCACGGACGTTCGCGTGCTCGTAAAAAGTGTCAGGATCGGTTGAAACTCGAAACGCGTTGCGTGAAACCTGCCTATAGAACGTGTTGCCGCCTACCGCGTCGGGAGCCATCGCAAAAATCGCGTAGAAGACAGGGACGACACGCGTGTGCGCGAAATTCGATTCGACGTCGACATCGCGGCTTTTCTTCCACGAGGAAACTTCCTCGTGTCCACCTTGATCGAACCCTTCTTTTTTTCTTCGTTAAAAAAAAAAAAAAAAAAATAAACACTCGTATCGAGCATCTATACTTGTCTCTTTTTTTTTTTTTTTTTCTTAATCGAAACTGTTCGTATTTATCAAGATATATTAAATAATAATAATTTCCTAATACGTTGAAATGTTTTAAAAAATATTTTAATTAAAAGGAATAATTATAGACTAATTTATTCATTTTCTTTTTCGAGCCCCAATTTACAATTACAAAACTTAAATTTCGATCGAATATCGTTTAAACAGCACTACATATAAATGATCGAAATCGAAATTATATATAAGTCTCGTAGAATCAAATATTCCTATAAGATTCAAAACAAACTGGTTCGACTAATTATTTATATACAAAATCATACTCAACCTCTTTCCAAAGAAAAACCATCAACAAACGGACATTGAAAACAAATCCAAATTCTCGAGTGTTTATTAAAATCTCTTAATTCAAACTTTCCAATCGATCTGTCAAATTTATTTTCCTTCCGTTTTCTCCGCAAAACATAATCGCGAGTTCCATTTAGCTTGGCAACGAAGAGAGCGACAGAAAAGATCCCGTTGACGAGGCCGAGCCAAGTCCAGTGGCGTGGTGTTACAAAAGGCGGGAAAAGAAAGAGTGGCAAAAAATGAAAAGAATGAAAAAGGAAAAGAAAGGGGGAGGGGGAAGGCGGGAGAGAGGAAGCGAGGGAAAGAGATCGAACTCTGTTTAGAAATGCACGCGGCGACGTCAGGCTTTGGATTAAAGATTCGAGATGTGTTCGACGCGTCCATGGCGTGAATGCACGAGGAACGAGCGGCGAGTAAGTACGTGACGCATCGATCCACGCCGTGATCCTGAAATAGCGAACTATGTCGATGGAACGAGATCCTTGCGCGATCCAGGCACGAGGAATCCACGATCGATTGCGTCACGTTAACGTAGGAATGGTAACGTGAGAGATTACATTGCTGCGAGGCTAACGCCGTAAAAGGAATAGAGGAGCTCGAGACAGATCCTTGAAAAGATAAATGGTCCAACTGTCTTGCTGTGTACGTACACGAATGCGTTTGAATATCGAGTGATTTTCGAAGGAATTCAAAATTAACACACTTTTCGCTCTGTTTAATCCCCTTTTCATCGATATAAATAAAGATAATATAGGTACAATAAGAAGGATATTTAGATAGAAAAGAACATAGCAATCGAGAAGTAATATCAAACAATAAAACTGATTAAAAGTTTTATCCTACCTTGAAACAATGACTTGGAGACATCAGCCTGGCCACCAGGAAAAACCCTTCTCACGAAGATGCCCATCTCACCACGAGGGCTGTCCCTACCACCCACGACGCTGAAACCAAGGCTAGGCTTGCCGTAGCCTTTCTCGAATTTGGCGATATGCCTCGTCAAATAATGTTGCGGCTCCGTGGCCGATTCCAAATTACTCTCGCCGCCTTTTCGCTCCTTGGACACGCAGGAGAGCGGTAAAAAGTCTGGCCTTTTCGAGGATTGGACTACTTCGTCCGCGGTGGATTTGCCCGATTCCTCCGATTGTACTGTTTGCTTCGTTTCGCTGTCGATCAACGACAGATTGGAAAGGTTCTTTGCGTTTTCCAGGTACTCGTACTCCCCAGGTAAGGTCGGCGGGCTTACGTACACTTGTGGCACAGTCTCTTCATACGCGGTCATCAAACGTATCTTGTTGCCCGTGAAGGATCTCAGAAACTCTTGGACCTCCTCGAGGCTCTCCAATGTCCTCAACTCCTTGCCTTCCACCTCCACGATCTCGTCGCCCAGCCTTAGTCTTCCGTCTCTGTTTATTCAAATTGTATTTTGTTTGATTCATTAAGAAACCATTGTTGTAAAGTTAATGATAAAAATGTCTTTATGCCCTACACTATCTAGATGCTCTCTAACGAGATAATTCTCCTTCAACAATCCAACTCTCTTACAACTATTCTAGATTGTCAATTTAGATCTTCCCCCTTAGATGTGATATCTAAACTTACCTATGAGCTATTCCATCGCTCTCCAGCTGAACAACGATGTACCGCAGCTCGGGCAAGCGTTGCTGCGCCAACCGGATACCCAAGCTTTCCTTCGGATCCCTCTTATGCAACTGCACCAACCGACATCTCCTCACTCTCTTAGGCGGCTGAATAATATCGCTAAGAAACCTAGTCTTGTCCTGCTGAAGTCTCATTCTATGAGGCGAAATGTCCAACGACTTGGACGAGTTCTGCAACGCGGTCAGCCCATTCCCACAAACTGGGAACTGGGAGTTCATCGCGGCATCGTCGTAAGTCTGATGTATGCTCGGCAACAATCTGCCAGAATTGCTCTGGTGCCACCTAAGCCCGTCTATACCGTCGTTCAACTCGGAATTTCCGGCTCTCATCACGCCCTCCGTTTCGGAGTTCTTCCTCGTCCTGGTTTCGTTGCTGTTCTCCTGTTCCTGGCACTCGCTCGGAGTGGAACTCCTTATAGGTTTCTCCAGTTCCGAATCGACCACGCTGCTGGTGTCCGAGCTGTCCGTGCACTTCAGGCTCAAACCTTCGTTCTCAGAAGCGGCCGCTGACTCCCCTCTGGGCCCGTCGCTGTCGTAGCCGGACTCGTTCGAGCTCACGTAGTGAGAGGAGAGCCTCTGCTCGCCACTCGGGGCCGAGTTCCTCCTGTGTTTCCTCAGCGTGGCCACCATGTCCAGGTCCACGTTCAACGAGGACGTCTCCGAGAATCTAGCCTCGTTCATCCTTCCTGCGAAGTCCACTCTATCCTGGCCGGCATCCGGATGCTGGACGCCTGCGTTCCCTCTAAGAGACATCGGACTGCTGTCGTACGAGCTGTAACATCCGGTGTCCTCCTGCTGGAAGTTGTCGTCGATCCTCTCCAAGTGTCCCGGATTCAGACTGTACCTGTCCTCGCACCTGCTGCTCGCACTCTTTCGAAACTCCGTGTACGAGTTCCGCCCCGATTTCGAGGCGGACGGTTCCTTGTTGGGGCTCCCCCTGGACATATTCCCGTTCCTGGCTCGTCGCCGACCAAGCGTGGTCGTGCCCGTGTACGTGTCCTCGATCTTCAACGCGGGGAAGTGCTCCTCGGACGCAGTCTTGAACAGGCGCTCGTCCTTCGAGGCGAACGTGCTGTGACGTTCCTCGGGCAGGACGGAGAGCTTCGATCGCAGGAATGCGTACGGGAAGCTGGATTTCTTCGCCTCCTTGAAGTCGCAGCTGCTGCTCTTCCGCATGGGAGACTCGTTCCGCGATTGTCCAAAGTCGCACGGGCTGAAACTCGTTATGGGCCCGTTGTTCCCGAGCGGATACAGATTCGCGGACGCGTCGTTCACGCGCTCGTCGAACGCTTCGTCGTTCTGACGACCGGCCAGGTTGTCGCAAGACACGGTCTTGTCTTTTCGATTAGCTATCTGAAGATCTATCCCCTCCGACGGATCGTCTCCTTTCACGTAGGTCGGGCTGGTGTTCAACTGGCTGGTGCTGCAACTTCGGAACAAATTCTCCTTCTCGCACGTTTTCAACCTGTCCTCGATGTTCTGGGAGCGTCTGTTGCCTCTGGCCGAGTTCAACATCCCCGTCGAACCCATGCGGATGAAGAAGGATTTGAAGGGCGAGGGTGATCTGTGAAACGTACCTCCGGGTATTCTCTTCTCCAGTTTGCTTTCCAATTTGCTTTCCAGCTTCCCGTGCTCCGCCTGTAACGGTTTCTCCGTTTTCAAATTGATATTGTTGTTATTGTTGTTGTTGCTCGCTGCGGCCATGTTGTTGTTGTTCCCGCTGTTCCCTGTGTCCGGCCTCTCGGAAATTGAGCAGATCGTTTCGCGGGAACCAGCCCGACGGAACGAGTCTATCTTCTTGCTCATCCTTCGACCCCACACTCCGAAACTCGAGCCTGAAAGTAACACGAGAATTAGACAGATTCACGAATTCGATTAATAACAACGCCCTTCTTCTTCTCCGCGTGGAAAAATTTAACAAATATAATTCCTCGAAGAACGCATCCAATGGAATCGCACAAGATTCTTTTCTCCCTTATTATCTTCGTCGATTAATCGCGACCCAATAATCCCCCTTCCCAAAAAATCGACGACATTCAATTCTAATGAAACAATTCCTCGACTTCACGACGATGGTATCATCACCTTCGAATCTCCACACGGATTCGAAAAATTTCAAGGAATTTGAAGCCTCGGGCGTTCAGCTGCTCGAGGTCCCGGGCAACCGGGCAGAAGAAGAGGATACCGGACCATCTCGCGGTACGAAAAACCATCCGTCGGCATCCTTATTCGCGGTCGACATATGGTCGCCCCCGAGAACAGGTAAAAGGAAGTCTCGAGTATGCAGAGAGCAGGTCGAGACGATGGTTCCGCGTATTTTGGGACTACTTTTTCGAGGTGTCAGCCGTCGTCGGTTAACGGGGCCGGGCCATTCGCTCCTATACGATGGGGAACGATTGTCAGGCTGCTCAGGTATCGGGTACACGTGTTTTGCGATAACGCAACGGAGAGGGTTTGGCTTCGTGATACGACCTCGTTAACCCGCTGCCTTCGCAGCGTTTTCTTTAATGCGAGCTGTTCGCGCCACACTTCGTTATTTAACCGTTCGAGACGACGTGATAGATGGCGTGTATATATATACTTTGGACGAGATGGTGAAACGATGGAAACGAGGTATTAAGTATCTCTTAAGGTTGGGTTTTAGAGAGGTTGGGTTGGTAGGTCAAGGATTAATTGGTTAATGGAAGTTAATGGAAGTGGAAACGAGGGAGGATGGAAAAAACGTTGGAAAATTGTGTAAGTGATGGATAAGAGAATTTCGTGGAGATTGAAGGTTTTTCTTTAGGAGATTTTGGGATTGGAGAGAGGAAGGAATGTATGATGTATGATTTATTAGATTATTCATGGAAAGATTTTGGAACGTTGATGGTTGTTAAGCTTCTCTGAGAGAATTAAAAATAAAGTAAATATAAGTTTGCTGTTGATTATAATTTCGAAGAAATATTCGTGGAAATTATTTGCAAAAGTTATTGTTACATGTTACGTATTTGTAATATTATTTTAAAGTGATAGGAAAAATATAGAATATGATTTTTTTTAATTAGGAAGAAGAAAAATTGTACGAGAATTTCTAAAAGTTGAAAGTTCAGACCTCATTAACAAGACGACTTTTGCATTTCTGATATGATGAGAGGCCTTTGTAGGTTATAACGAGGAATATTCATGAATTGAGAAAAGGAACAAGTTCAAGTAATACTTCACGATCTGGAATGTAAAGTAATATTTTCGATGAATGCGATCTCATAAATGATTGAATGGTATCGATATTTTTAATAATCCATTAATCTATCATTTTGAAAACTAAAATACAACGATGAAATATTCATCAAAATTAAATGTTAATCAAATATTTCTAATTATGAGAAATAATCTTGATTAATTACTTAAAATAATAATATGAATATTACGCCAATACACAGAAAACGAACAATTGATTTGATCAAAATTATAAGTTAATTAATGAAATTTTAAGAATTGAATCACTTCTTTCGAATCGTTCCATTTCAATCTTTAATTCCAAAATTAAAAAAAAAAAAAAAATTCTATTTCTTTGAGATAACCATTCTCATAAACACGTCCCCTCGACGTTATCATTCATTTTCTCGTTCAACTTACGGGCAAAGTATTACCGCTAAAGCCTCGAATCACTTACTCGCCATATGGCGCCATTGTTCTCTAATACAAATTGAAAGATAAAAGAGGAAGAATAAATGGGAACGGAGCTGGGTAATTCTTCGAATTAATCTCGAGAGGGAGAGAATTCATGATAAATCGAACGCGGCGTGACAAGTGCGATGACTTACACTCTCATTAAGGTAACGAGTTGCATCCGTGCATCACGGGGCACAATTAAACCGTGAATGTGTTTCCATGCGCCACCAACGGCTATCAACGTCGTATACAGTTCGACCGCGATGACGCTCGGGCGTCATCGCTTTATCCTTGATTAATTAGTTTCTTAATTAATCAAGCACGGAACACCGCTCGACGTGACGATAATTATGTTGAGCGACACGGTGAAAATGATTACCTTTGTTCGAGGAGTTACAGCGGAAGATATTGAGCGGAGTTGATTCTTTGCGTGAAAAATTGACGTGAGTGATAGCGGGAAATTTAAATAAGGCCTTGGAATGTTTTCGAATTAATTGAACGAATAAACGATATTTTTTTTTTTTTTTTTTTATGAAATGTAATTACGAAGTTGTGGATGAAGATGTACATTTTCATCCACTATATTTTACTAGGTATTTGATATAAATCATGAATTGTATATACATATTTCTTGATAAAATCATTTATTATATAATTATGTATAATTTTTGGACGAATTTAACCGTGGTAAGATTTTTGTAATTTATAGCAATGTATGAAATATCGAGTGTGTTATTTCTTTAATATTTGTTCAACAAATGCTGAATTTATTACTGTGTTAGAGAAAGAATAAAAATCCATAAAATGTTATTTATATAATGTATAATATAACTTTGACATGACAATTTCTTTTTTTTTTTTTTTTAGTAATTAAGTTTTAAGAGAAACGCAAACAAAATTTTTATCGATCTTGGTATATAATATAAACGAAAGTTGCTATATATCTTTTTTCCATTATATAACAAAATGTCATACGTTTGTAATAGCGCTCATATTTCTGCAAATCGTTTCCACTATTCGTCAAGACGAGTGATTAATCTTCGTATTTCATTTAATGCCTCTTATTTCAACACCAAAGTCACGCCAGCATATTTCATTTCTCCTTGAAGTTCGGTTTTTATGACACTTAGTGTGCATCGCGCGTATAAATAAATTTATAAGGTAATATTCATCATTACTTTAATTTAATTAGTTTTTATATCGATGTACTATATAATTTTCGAGATGATTACATGCTATATAATACTATAAACTTACTAAATCTTAAATTTTATGATATTATATAGTTTATGAATTTTTATTCTCAGTTGTATTAATATCATTAAAAAGTAATTTTCCTTTTTAAATGTAAAAAAAAATTTAAGTGTAATCCTTTTCTTTATTACGAACTATCAGCGCATCCCTAATTATACGCCACTACAATCTCTTTCTCTATAATTTATCGAGATTAAATATGCTCATTTGCAATTTTTGCATTTTGTCTATAGAATTTATAGAATTTTCATTGTAATTTATTTATTTTTGTAGCAGTTTATAAATATAAAATCAAATTTTAAATTGGAGAAAAATAACTAGATTCCAACAAAAATTCTTCCCCTTCGGTCCCAAAAATTTATCCCCTTTTAACAATTTTAACAATTTAATGCACATCTTAAGTTATTTGCCATCATTACACATACTAACAAAAATAAAATCATCTTCTTCACAATCTGTGTAGAATTTTAAATTCCAACAAATTTAATTAAATAACAATCCTAATTTTAACTCTATTCCGCATCCCCTAAATTATTTGCATTCTTCACACCAGCAAATTCTTAATTATCTTCTATAATTACAGTTTATATTTTATAGTAGCTAGAATCTGAGATATACATATTTATGATTACTTAACGAAAACGAAAGTCAAGAGAGGCATCCGTAATTAATATTATTAACGATCTTTCGCGCGACCTTATTAACCTACACTACCCGTGAACCACTAGCTACGAAAACGAGAATTTTAGAATTTTTACACGAGGCGGAAAACGTGTTCCATCGTAACCTTGTTACAAACACAGTTGGTGCAACGAGTGCAACGTTAACACGCGATCCTGAAAACTCGTGTTCCTCCTCATTAAACCGGCCGACAGATAATGACAGCGCGTTTTAATTAATTAATCGTATCACGGGCATCCTAGCGTATCGCGATAATGAAATCGCGAACAAGTTAAGCCGATGGATACCTAACGAGCGTTTCCATGAAAAGTGGACAATAAAACAACGAACAACGTATTTGCATTATTCTTTCCATTCGATTACGTGGTTAAATTAGACGAGCGATCGTGTGAAATATAATGGACATTAGAATTGTTGACGAATTTGTTATCGAATTTTTTCTTATATCTTATATCTTTTTTAAATCTTTAAGAAAATATTTGATTGAATGTTTGTATGATGATGTAGAGAATGAATATTCTAAAAAATAGTCCTAGATATAAAGAATGTGAAAAATATATTTGCTGATAGGGGATTGAGCAATTTAATTTTGCAATTTAATGAAAGTGAAAAATAGAATGAAATGTCTCAACTAAATTATTAATAATGCAACGTATAAGTTATGTACATTTATATAAATATTTTTGTAAAAGGAAATTAACTATTAAATTATTAAGTAATTTAATAAAATATTTTTAAAATGATATATTGCGTTGAAGAAATATTTAAAGGATTTGAAACAGAAATTGATTTGAAACAGAATTGAATTCTAAAATTTGTAATATTTATATTGAAGTTGATGTAATTGTCATAATTCATTTCTTTATGAGAAATGTGAATGGCCAATTTATATTTATTATAAAAATAACTTTAACACTTTTCAGTAATTCGACTTTCTTTTTTAACTGGTTAATGCTTGAGATACTTATTTACAATCCCTTTATATCATTGAATATGCAGGATATTCTGATTCTAATGGTCTGTACTTTATCAGAATATTCTTTGGTCAGAAAAGATCAACTATAATCTGTGCTATGTATACACATTTTAAAGAGTACTCTTTTTACATGGTGAATGGGTCTTTGAATTGTTCAAATGAAATCACATAATTCTTTTCTATTCCCTTCTAAGAGACACTAAAAAAGAAATTCAGTATAAAATGTGATACTTTTATTCACGTGTCATAAAGTAAAGAAAACCGTTAGAGTGA